ACTTCCTCCGTTTCTGACAGAATAACTGCCATTTTAATATGCCCTTGACAGATCTTGGGGAAAGGAGGGATTAGAAACTCCAGACAAAAGTGGCAGGAGTGAGAAGTGAGTGACTTCATTATTTATTTCCAGATTTTGAGCCCTAAAGTTCTCATGGTATTCATTAGGTGTATCTACAACATACAGGTGTATCTTGCCTACCTTCTTATGCAGAAGCATTTCAAAGTGCTCTTTCCTACCGGTTAACTGTACCCAGTTTCCCTCCTGCTCTCTAGCTTTCTTGTGCTTACTTTCCTCTCACCAAAACACAGCCTTTCATCTTTACAGAATATGATGGAACATGTTTCGGGTACAATTTTCTGATAATGTGTTCAAAAAGCCTCCATAAAAATTCACCTTTACTATGGATGACAAGCATTCAAGAAGAACAGTCTCACAGGATGTATTTATGCACGTTACCAATCTTTTCATTACTCAGTTATGGTACCTGTAATAAATATAGCAACATTAATGCTTAAACCTATTCCTTACAGTTTCTGAAGACTTAAATAACAAGTTTCCTTTGTCAGTCTAAACCACATGTTTACACTTATTCAACTATACAAAACCATGGTTAAATTACACTACCATTCTTAAAATCCCCCCCCAAATCCTCTTCCCCATTACTTGCTATTTATTGGCAAGGTTAAAAGGAGTCTCACCCTGAACATACAGGATTTAGAATAACCTCAACTACCTCAGTTTGCTGTAAACTTTAAATACAAGCAAAAGATAGTAATAGAGATAAGCTCGCTTTTATAGTGTGCATTTTTTCTGATGACATTCTACAGTTTCAACTATTCTTCACAGTAAAGTATGTTAAACTTTTTCCCCCATGAAAAACAAAAACACAAGTATCCCCATGCTAACAACTATTTTTGAGTACTTTTTCCTGTAAGTGTATACAGTTCTTCAGAAATCAAAGTAACAAAGGGATGCACTTTATTCTTTCCATGTCAAGAGCAAATGCATTAGAATACAAGTCTAGTTTTCACAAGACTGTTTTCTTGAAGATTCAATGAATTTCACTGCAACTACAGTAAGAGACATTTTCATTTTATTTTCAAATATAGGGGAAAGAGACACGGTATTTCTTTAGTATATGCTTATCACCATCACCTTTTACCATAAGGTCAAAAGACTATTCCTGTAAGCTTTCTTCCACATTTAAGACAGAATGTTGCTCCAACTTTTCCAAGAAATTGTGATAGGGACAGATGTAGAAATTCCTCTGTATTTGACATGATATTGCTAAAAAGCATTTGTTTGCTGCCCACTTCTTTCTTTATGTTTCTTTAGTCAAATAAACATGACCTCTTCCTTGTCACTGGAAAAAAAGTACTGCTATGATACATGCTCGATGATGATATATCTGCATGATCATATTATATTTTTAATTAACTATGGAGGAAAAGAAGCAGAAAAAAAAGGTGTTACTTCAAGATTACATCCCTCCTGCTCCACCTCAGTCTTTCACTAGTGTCACTGGTAACAATCTCCACCCCACCTCCCCAAAGTAAAAAAAGTACACACTGGTAAACTTCCTCGGCTTGCTGCATTTTATCTGCCAGGGGGGGGGGGGGGGGGCGGGGATCAAGAATACATTCTTCATGTTTTTCATTGTAAGGAGTGTATTTAACCCAAACAAAAGCTGAGTACTGATAGGTAATTGTGGGTAAAAGCCTACAAAACAGAATGCCAAAGGAAGACACTATCATAAACTATAAAGTGAACGGAAGAGTGCTAAGACTATTGCTTCTTACAAAGATGTAAAAACGTAATAAAAACCAGTGCTACACAGTAACAGAATTCATTCATATTTACAACCCAAGCTTAGGTTTGGCAATTAAAACTATTTTGCAAAAAGTTACTCTTGACTTCTCTTTATTGAAGAGAGGGATGGAGGAAGAAAGAGCAAACCAGTTTTAAAACCAATGCATTCAGCGTTTCCAAACTGCAGCACTCACATTTATAGCTGAGGAACAAGACTGTTAAACTGAATTCACCTTATTGCCCCCAGATTAGAAAAATAAGGTAACCGCAGTTTAGAACTCCATGGTAATAACTTAAAGAGACTAGCAGAGGAAAATAATCATCTCAAGGATTCATGTTTACTGCCCTTTAAATGCAAGTTATCTTCAAATAAGTTTTTCTCTTTTTGAAGTTTTTCTTCCATATGATAACACAATCAGCATACATTGCTCCATCATCTCTCAGGTGAAACAAATCAAAGCATTTATTTTCACCTCTCACATTTTCAAGAACCATGAATACATGACATACCTTATGCTGTAACAGTTTAGCCCTGCATCAGCTAACAAATTTCCTTAGGTTTAAGCCTACACGCTGCACAGCCTACTTGCTTTCTTTTCGTACTTTGCCAGATCTCTTCAATTTCACAAACTTCTGAACAGAGCTGTTATTGTTAATTCTCAGCAAGAAACCTAAGCCACTATGAATCACTGCAGTGACTGGCAGCAAGTGTCAGCACTACTCTCACAATGCTTCAGAAATGGAGAGAAGTCCTAAAGCAACTAAAAGCTTTTAGCTAACCTACCACTGACTTGGTTCTTGCACAAGTCTTCATGCAACTTCATTAAATAAGAGAGCAAAGAAAAAGGGTACATTAGGCTGGCATAATATTTCAGAAGCCAGAAATATTTCGGCATTCTGCCTCTCTAACACCAGGGTCTCAGCTCCGAGCAGGGACACCACACAGGCTGGAACTTTAATTTTTCACATTTCATTAAAAGCTTATCAAACAGTAACAACTACGCCTCCTGTAACTGTCCACAGTGGAGTTAGGCCCTCAGTTTATTCATCGGGCATCAGACATCAAGACTACTTACTCGGCTCTAAACAAGAGTACAGATAACACGTGTTGCACTCCTCCTTAAAGAAATGCACTGCACAATGTAAAGCATTTATTTACTATGCAAAACTGCACGTTTCTCCATACTGTGTGAAAATTAAATTGTTGGATAATATTCTCTCCATAAAACAATTGATAATAATTATTTTTCCTAAAGAGAAATGAAAGTGAGAACAGAAAAAAGGGCTTTTTTGTAGTCTCTAAAATGCTGCTTAACTCTGCATTGCTAAGCCACAGATGTCTATACAACAGATTTCTACAATTAAGAGGGAATGAGCATTTCTCTGCATTGGGAAGTTGTGGGTTTTTTCCTAGAACCACATTTGCCATGACCATTGCATTTTAGCAGCCATACTACTTTAACACCACTATCATCTGGGACACTGGCAGCTTTGTGGTCCAATGGTAGATATAACAAGATATTTAAACTTCAACAATCAGAAGTTCACTGTTCTACTGATAATCAAAACCATAAAAATACAAAGAAGGAAACTGGACTGTGACTTCATATTGACTATTCGCTGTGTGGTGGAAGCGAAGTCAGAAACTTATTTTTCAAAGTCTTTTGGAAACTTAGCCCATGTTCATCCCATGAACAAGTGTGTTTTAGTACTTTGAGCTGTAATTTTCAGCAGAAAAAAATACAGTTGCATTTCTGGTGATGGGTAATTTAAAATACATGTTAGTATAGACCACTGTAACATAATTTTAAAGAGTTATGAATCCAAATTTAAAAGTTACAGTAAGATGTACTTACTTCTTTCTTACCTTCCACTCACTGCCTGTCCCTGCTGATCATGTGAACTGGTAGTCAATATGACTTGCTTTGTGGCATCAAGGCAAGCTAATTTTGAAATTACCATGGGCCTCCAGAGCTTACCAGAGAATTCTGAAGCTGCTTGCTGTGAGACATAGCCACATGCAGAGGCTCATGCTGGTTTCAGAGAGTAAATCATCTTCAAGAGATGCATGCCATCACATCAGCAAAACCTCAGTTTTTGTTGAATTAGTATTCTCATTAAAAAATCATTTTCCTTATTATCCTTACATGTTCCTTCCTAGACTCACTGTTCCACTACTAAAACATACTATAATTTTTTAGTAAATAGAATTTCTAGATAAATGTTAATCACTGTCTGCCCATTTCCTTAGGAAACGTAGTTCTCAAAACAGAACACATGCAGATGATAACAGATGAATGCAGGTATCTAGATGTGACACTGATCTCTAACTATATTCTTACCTATGCACACGTTCCAAAATGTTTCCCCCTCTTCAAAGGTGTTATCTATTCACCTAATTTGGTTCCATTATTGACACAATAGCAGTACAATTAAGGGACTGCTTAAGTCAATTTAGTTTTGGGGGGGGTTATGTGTGAGGTTTTTTTGTGTGTGTTACTGTTGGGTTTTTTTCTAAAAATATAAGTGAGAACCAGTTTTGTAGATCTCTCAGTGTTACTTATTTTTCTTCTCGTTACCCACAAGATGCACCTTCAAGTTCCACAATCTTTCTATTAAGCATTCAATTGTAATTATTACTCATACTTTAGACCTGTCAAAGAGATTTCCTACCAAATGGCAAACATAAGACAACTGTGGTGTAATTTATCATGGTAAAAACACACAACTGATTTCCAAATTGTCTATTAGGTACCCATAACTGACATGAATTTAGTTGGTCTAGACATAAAGAAAAATTACAGCATACTCATCCAGACATACAGTATGGACCAACTAAGACAAAATCTAAAGATTTGCCTAAACCAGAATGTTCTGGTTTAGAATAAGTTTCAAGATAATAATAATAAAGGATGTGACAAAATTCATTCATTTTCCCAGCTCCCTTAATACAAAACATTAATTTCAACACAAGAAAAATTGCTATAGCTTCCACTGATTGCACTAGTTGCTCGTTTGATAGAGTCGCAATAACTCATCCTGCCTTTTGTTGAGAAATCAAATAAAAATCCAAAATGTCTCGTTGCCCACACTTATTTTTGCACTTAAAAATTTAGCAGCTCTCTTGGAAGCTGGGAAAAGAGACATCTTTAGAACAGGGTGTTAAAAATAAATCTCTGTTTCCCTACCTGTTTCTCACTCAGAGCTGTGATTTTGGCTTGAAGTTCATGAAGCTGTTTCTTCAAATCAGCGTTCTGATTAGAAAGAAAAAATATCTGTGAGAAAGATATTCCATTTGTTAACATAGAGTAGTAGCAGGAAGGTGGTTTTTTTTTGTTTTGTTTTTTTTGCATAGTGTACTACAAATACAGCACCTCTGGATGTACAGCCAATAAAATTCAAGAGGCTCAACAAAGCCTTACTTAAGTCACTGAGTGCAACAATAATCAGAGGACCTTTCTAGCACTCGGAGAGACAACGCAGTTTGGAATGAAGATTTCATTAAAACATCCATTAGTGCTTGCTGCATTATAAAGCACATTTGTACATTTCATCAAGCTTACAGATTAAACAAGAAATGTTAATATGTAATACAATAGTATCATATTGTATATGATGTATGCTATGGTATGTTAACCTAAAGCATTCTCACCTATGCTACTTATGCAAAGTCATCATCATACCTTTGACTGTGTAGAGCATCAGCAAACATATCTATTAAAACTTAATTGACACACATGTCAAATGAAGGCAAACATATTTAAGTTTTCATTTCCACGTATGTTTATGCCCTAGACTGTATTTAAGAGAATTACATTTGCCTTAGCGCATCATTCATATCAGCACTTTGCTTACAATAGCACTTTAAGTTTAAGATTTGAAAGCCATAAGCATCACTATAAAGATGCAGTCAGAAAACAAGTTTTACCAGGACTATTTCTTTCCTACTAAAAATAAAATTTAAAAATCTGTCCTCAGTTTAAAGCCTGTGAAGCTCTGAAGAAACGTGACAGGGAAGCAAGCTTGCCTATATTTTTCTCTTTTTCCACTTTTTTTATTCTCATTTATGTTGTAAACTCTTTATACTAGATTACGCACGTTTGCTGTGCTACACAGAAATATTAAAACATAGGACTAATATCGTTACAGGAACTTCATGCTCAGAAGAGCTTCCCTATTTTTATATTCCTCCATACAATTTTGAAATGCATTACAGTCTCGGCTTGTACATAGTCTTCTCCAATACATACACAATTCTAGCAAAACCAGATATTGACCAGTCATCCTCCCTTCTTCTAGATTCCACTTAATAATCTGGGATAAAAATGCATTAAGAGCATTGGAAGCAGGGACCAGATTTACTCTTCCTGGCTCCAGGAACTTTGCACGGCTGCTTACAGCATGACCTGGCTTTCAGCAGATATGAACTGAAAGCGAAGTGTTCTGCAGGCTAATCGTTAGCAGAATTGCCCAGCAAGAGTCACAGACCTTACCCAAATCCCATCAGAATAAGGAAGTTCTAGAAAGCAGATTTTCCAATACCACCCTACGCCCTGCTCATCCCTCCCCGTCAGGGGTCTAACTACTTGACTGTTACAAAAATCTGTCTTCCCACCCCACCGTGCTCAGAAAAATATATGCTCAGAAAATTACAGGGCATTTAGTATTGCATGGGGATGGAATCACTTAATAGCAAGCCTCAAGTGAGCTGCCTTTATCCTTCTACTCAACATTTCAGGCTGGTTAGATAACGCCACAGAACTCCCCATTCAGCACACTGGAGTGCTTAATTGCTGTACAAGATAACCCAGTCTCCTTCCACAGTCACTGGGAAAGGGATGACTTCTGCTGTCTACGCAAGGAGTCTAGTTATCCAACTTCAGTAGCTCTGAAACATCCCAAGGCCAAGTGCCCACTCTCCAGGCACCACAGTGCTGAAGCTGGATACCTAAGACAGGCAAACTGAACACAGTATTAAGCTACATTTGGACAAAATATCCTAGCTCTCTTGTACAACTGTGAACCTTCTGATACTCAAAAAAGAAAAAAGCTAATTCTAGTAATGGCAGATTTTATAAAGAGCAGCTTCCAGTAGAATCAGAAACATACTGCATGTTTGAACTGCACCATAGCCCGCAAGAGTTGCTTGATTTAAACTATTAAGAATGTGAGGCAAAAGGGTCCATAAAGTCAAAAGTTTTGGTTTTGTTTTAAACTATCCAACAGTCATTGTTTAAAGACTTGTCCATAATAGTTTTCTTCTAAACATTGTGTTAGCAAGGAAAAACATGATCAAGAATATCTAAAATTAATTCTCTAGCTTCATGCACTGTTATTTCATGCATTTTTAAAGGTAAATAATACAATATAAAAATAAATAGTTACCTGCGGATCTTGCTTCATTTGGGCAACCAATTTCTAGAAATAAAAAAGATGCAACAATACAATGAAGATTTCATTACGGATCTTGTTGAACAGTTTAAAATTCACCATTTTTTAAGAACCTTTGTAAAAGCAAAACATTCAGTTTACCGCATTTCAATAGCAAGGCCTGGAATCCAGTATTATATCATTTCCAAACCCATTCTTATTAATATAGTGAAACGACCGCACTAAGCCACCACTTTTGTTTCTTCTCCTAAACAGCTCTTGAACAAGTGATGCCTTTTAAGGACAATTTAAGACAGCTGGGTAAGATAATCTAATAGCTGTGTCTCCTCTGGAACTGCTGCCTTCTTTGCTTGCAGTCACAAGAAACACAAGTCACAGATAACCACTGCAGGCACAAAAGCAGTTTGTATATTCAAGAGCAGAACGTTTCAAGTACTAAGGGTCCGCCTGTGTGTTGGCTTGGCTGGTACCACATGGAAGACCCATGTTCAGAAGTATCTTTGCCACTTTTCTCCCTCAGAGAGAGATTGAGATCATTGTAGAAGAGATGCCCTCCACATCCAAAGGAAAGCAAACAGATGGTTACCATTCACTATTCTTCCTCCTTCACTTCCTTGAGGCAGCTGCAGGATAATGCTGTCTATTGCTAAGCAAGGAAAAAGTTACCAGGCTGTCACCAAAGAAAACCAGACCCCAGAATGAAGAGGCAATGTAACCCAAAAATTTCCAATTTCTTTTTTGGTTACAGCAATGTGATGAATAAACATGGCTATGTCCCTTCCACACATGCAAGGAACAATGTAAAGTCTGTACTTTCTTCCCCATTTGCTCATCAGAATCAGGAAAAGGAGTGAGAAACAGAAGGACAAAGCAAGAAAAATGTATGTTTCATTTCACCTGCATTGATGCCACTTGGAGAATTCAGACTTTGTCAACTAATTCTCTTTAAAAATTTATTTCATTTCACAGCCTAAAAATGGTATTAATAAAAAAAAGCACAAACACAAAGATAATTGTGTCAGACCACAGGTTTACCTGCTGCATTTTCTTTTAGTACTAGCCAATAGCAAACAGAGGCATCAGCATGATGTCTATGCTGGTCAAGCAGAGAGTGTTATCTCCCCTCTTTCAGAAATTTACATTTCTGATGTCTTCAAAGATTATGTCTTAGGTTTAATAGCTAGTAACACACTTTTCTTCCATTAATCTGCCTTAATTACTTTTTGAACTCAGGAAAACACTCAAGATCCTGTGACAATAAGTTCCAAAGTTAAACTACAGGACTCTTATGTGAAAGGACCTCATTTTTCTTTTGAATCTGCCTCCTGATAGCGCAAGCATGAGGGGCAAATAAGATTATGGAAAAACAGTCTTGACTCGAGTCAAGAGGAGTTGGAAGTTGGACTTCATGATCCTTATGGGTCCCTTCCAAGTTGAGATATGCTACGATTCTATGACTGTTTCTCTATTCACCTTCTTCCTACATTTTTTCCACACCACACATTCCCCCATCAGTCACCGCTTCTTCACATTGAAAGTCTCCTTATGCACGAATCATTCCATTGCTTTGTTCACTCTTAGCACTCTTCCCTGTACTTCTCTAGTTCGTCTTTATCGTCTGGAGACAAAGTTTAAAACTGCATGCAACACTCAAGTACTCTGTACTGCAAGAACTCCTTCCGCAACGAATTCACAGCCTGCTATTGCAGATGTAAAAGCAGGACTGTTCTTCCAAAGTGCATCACTTGGCATTTATCTACACTGAATATTGTTGTTTCATCATGCCGCCATTCAATGCCATGGGAGCTAAGGTGCTATGTCAACCTTTTGCTTACATGCTTAGCTTATTTTGCCTTGGTGCTTTCTACCACATCAGAGTTTGACAAGCAACATATCTGTTAGTTCCTATACAAGTGCTTGTACAGACTCAGTCATAAGACAATAGAGTCAGTGACTGTAAACTGTTCATAAAATATTGCTAAATTTATGGATCACACAATACAACTGTTTTTTTTGCACTGAGCCAAATGCAAGCTAGATTTAAGATCTTTTAAAACCTACCAGTCTTTTTGCTACCAAATAAGAGAAGGAAGAGGATGTTTGAGGTTCTTTCCACGTATCAGCTCGTGGAATCATCCATAAAGCCCAACCCTTCTGTGGGAAAGCTAAATATAGCTCCTTTAACACCTCTTGTGATCAAAACTATGACAAAGCAGACTGTTTCAAAATAACCTTAATTAAGTCAACACAGTAGCAGAATGAACGACTTAGATTTGATGCATCTCTTCTCAGGACAAGCAATATAGTTTTGACATGGAAGATACCTGAATATTCAAGTTGTACTCTGATATAGCAAGTGACCTGGTCAGACTTCATTTATGGAGGATTCTTCGATCATCGAAATGAAACAAAAGAAGTAGCTTTTTCTAAACAACTAAAACACCTCCTCTGAGTCCTTACTGGTAGTTTAAGATACACTTTGCCAAAGCAGTAGCAAAGCTTCAGAGAGAGTTCTGGAGGTGAACTGGAATAGACAGGAAACAAGGAGCTGTTCTTCAAACAAAAATACAGTCATACTGACCATCATGTTCTACAGCTATGTAAGCAGTCACAGGTAACATGCAGCATCAGGAAGCTGGGAGGCTTTGCTCACAGTGCAGAGCTGAACTCCGTACACTCAAACACCTGTGCACCACTTACAAGGGGACAAAAAACTATGACTGTATGAGTGTTGGCAAGCTTTTTTAGAGAGTCCTCAGAAAAAGAAATATTAGATAAGTAAAAAGATGACAAGTGAGACAATTCTCCACAAATCCCGAGCACTGCCAGGAGAAGGGATATATTGTATCTCTTTAAGTTACAAAATTCGAAGATATACCATACAGTTCAAGCATTTCACTCGAAGATTTCTTTTTTTTGTGCCAAAACCAGTTTCATTTTTATCAGTGGCCATTTGATGAGCACAGCAGTAACCACTCAGGCACAGTTCAAGAAAAGTTTACTGAAGGACCCAACATGTTGCCACAAGTGTTATTTTCTATTGTAAACATTTAGTCCTGTTCTTAGCCTTAATTATGGGAATACACAGTATCTTGAAGAAAAAGACAACCTTTGATATAATGGCTTGTCTAGTGTCATCAACTAAAACCAAATTTAATTAAAGTTGATTTCAGTGCAGAGCTCACTTTTAATGAGGATCAGGCAAAGCTAAGGCAAACAGGGTCAAAAAACCTTGAAGTTGTTAAAAAAAAGTCTTTTTGGACATTTTCCAGTCTTCATCCCTGTTCATCATCATTATGAACAGATGCTAAAGATTATTCAAAATTCGCAGTCTTAAATTTTTGGTTAGCTTAGGCATAAAGGGGAATGAAGATACACACAAGAGGTAAATGCTGTTATACAAACACAAGTATGACTAGCGTTCTGATCACCATACAGCAGACAATACTTGAAAAAAATACTTACTGGCTTTAAACATTTTAATGCCTGCAGCAAAATGCCATGGGTGATTTCTGAATTTCCTTACCCCCATAACAAAACTTCATTGAAGCTTTGAATGCAAGGGCCTTGGAATTTCTGAGGAGATCAAAATACTTGTCTGTAGTTCTGGAAGTTCACCTTTAGCTTTTTCGAGTTTTTCTCCCTAGCTGAAAGTTGTATTTTGTTAAAGCAGAGATAGCTTCATTTTATTAATCCGCCCATTCAAGTTCTTGCACTATGCTCATCATTGCAGCAACTACTGAACAAGTCTTTTAGAACACTTGTTTAGACAAGTCACCAGGTAATTTGGAAACATTTTCCAATTTTATGTGATGGGTTACACCGACCAGTGTAACCTATCACATATTTCTTTTATCCACTGTAACAGTTGTGAGTTTCAGATATCCAACAGAAATACTTGGAGAACTGTCTTTAGAAAAGGTCTCATCGATAAATTTAACATTTCAAGTTGGCAGCTACTCTGCGTTTATGGCTGTAACCATTTTGTTCCAAGAATTAACATGCATATGTCCTCTTACGTTTGCTAAATTAGGTTTTATTATTTTTAATATTTCTCATTTGTATTGTAATGGAACGGCAAACCGCAACTCTACTGCCATATAGTATTGGACAGGCTACCAGTAAAAGACCCAACACGTAAAATTTTCTGAGCCCAAGCACTACAACGTTTTGGTTAGCAAAACTGTAAAATTACAAGTTTAGAAGGCACTAAAGTAGAACACAGTCCAGAAGAGAAGCACCAGGTGAGACTACGCAGCACTACGCACATTTCACTTGAAAGTTCCTCCACCATATTCTTCCATTGCCACCTGAATACTGAAGTTGGCTTCAGGACATTAGAAAAACCTTTCAGACAGAAGTTGCTGAACACAAGAGTTTTCAGAATGTTTTTCACTGCTACAAAATATATTAAAAAAAAAAATCCCCACCCACAGCCCGATATGTAGAATTTTCACATTTGCTAAAAAACAACAGGTGGTAGGGTCAAAATGCAAAGCATAAAATTCTAAAGTAGCTTCAAGCTTATAAAACAATTATCACTACACTTGTAGTGCTATTACTTAATGCTACGATTAGTATTACTACTATCAGCAATACTAATGCTGCTATTACTTGAAAGTATAAAGCAAGAAAGAATACAAATTACCTGGTGAACCTGAATTTCCACTTTCAGAGCCTCCTGTAGAGTCTGCAGCTCCATTCTCTACCTTCTCCACTTTCTCTAGAAGCGTCTTTGCTGATTCCAGTGCCTTTAGTTTCTGGTTTCCTCTTTAACACCAGTGCTATAGAAAAACAAAGGTTTTGTTTTGATTAGTGAAGAAGAGAAGTCAATTTGAAAAAACGAGATTATAACAGAGCAGGAATTCAGTAGTGAACTATATTCAGCTGCAGCTTTCTAGCCTAAACACAAACAATCTTTCGAACACAAGAAATCTACAGGCTGTACAAAATGCCTGTCTTGGAGTCATTTAGCCAAATTTGTTACTTCCCACATATCCCAAAGTTGACATACTTGTCCCTTATCTTCGTTTGCAGGCAGCTATTTCCTACCAATATCCTATTGCAGTTGCATATTAGAAAATTTAACTACCGAGACCATTTTAAAAAACTGTGTAGATGAGAAAATATTCTAGAGACTAAAATTCTGCAACCCAAACAGCAATAAATTGTAAAACAGAACCTACTGCATTAACATACTTCCATGATACTAGAGCTGTTCTTAGATGCTATAGTCTGCATGCAATTTGACAGAACAACATTAATACATTAATAACGCACTGCCTAAAGTTTGTGCTGAGTTAGTCATTTCAGTTGAAACCTATTTTGAAGGAACTCAAGATTGATATAAAGCAGGACAAGACTTTTTCAAAACCATTAATCTTAAAATCCTTTTAATCTTGGAATTCTACTTGTAGAACATGAGTATGAGTTTACCATCTTCACTTGTACTACAAACAAATGAATCCCCCCAACCTCGGACATAGAAAAGCATTATCAGCCATACTTCTAAAAGCCTTGAAAGTTGGACAATAGATTTTTGTTCAGAAATACATGAAAAGTATCAGCTTCTGAAACAGTATTAAGATTCCTGTCTCTATCCCATATGCTCAGATCACAATAGAACCTGTGTAAAAAAAATCTATAGAGACATGCACATAAAAGCCATCGGAAAACATTATGTAGCAACCTTTCCAGTCACTTTTCCATCCAGACACCACACATTAAAGAGTTGCTGGAGTGTTAAAATAGTTCCAATTTTTTTATTTTCCTGAAAATTGCTCACAATTATTGCACAGGTATTGTAGCCAACTCAGAGGCCTTCATAATGGGACTTCATTGTTTTCAAAAGGATATTGACACTTTAGATTAGACATGTAGGCTGTAAAAAGAGAATAATTCCCATAAGTTAGAGAATTTTTGTTTTAACATTGTCTCATTACAGGAAACTGAAGTGCTGGACAAGTTTGTGAACTCCTGAAAATAAGAAGTTGGGGGGTGGTGGGGGTGGTGTTTGTTTTATTTAAATTGTTTCTCTTTCCAAACAGAAATATGTTACAAAAAGAGAAGACTATAAAAGGGTTTTAAAAAGACTTGGCAGTGCTAGGTTAACAGTTGGACTTGATGATCTTAAAGGCCTTTTCCAACCTAAACGATTCTATGATTCTATTTAAACTCATTCTTTGTCAGTGCTGTCTGCTGTTAGCTTAAAGTTACTTATTTAAATAACAAAGGCCTGACCAGACTTTCTCGTCAACACATTAAATGACCTTCTGCAAGGGCCTCTCTCACATGTGACAGACAAGCGAAAACAGCTGCCTTTGCAGCACTACTCTCTATAAAATTGTAATTTGTATCAAGGGATACATGGAAATTACATATAGTTCCCTGTTCTATTACCACAAACAGTAATGAGAAAACAGAATCCCGGCTTATTACTTCCACTCACTGACAAGAACAACTATAGTCTGCACTAAGTCCCTTCCATTGAAGTTTCAAAGGAAACCATGTTTCAGAAAGCCATGTGGGAGACTGGCTAATGAAAACTGGAACCCACTGCAGCAGCAAAAAGTCTTTCATAAGCCTTGGAAATTCAGTTTTGGGGTAAAGATACAGGCAGATATGGCCATAGTTTCTTTCTCAGTGTGTCTTCAATGAATGAGAAGGCAGTCATGATGAATAGCTAGTATCACTCTATAACTACGTATTAAGTTTAAAGTACAAAACAGCAGAAGAGACAGTTATCTCAACTAAGAATGTAAACAATATCCACAATTTTAGTACATGTGACTGTAAAACCCAGTACTAGTTCACGGGAAAAATGACACAGTACTTCTGTAAAAAAAAATATAAAGATTGAGCAACTACTATTAATGCACAACTTAATCTGACAGATAGAAATTGTAGTATCAGTGGTTCATAAAAACTAATCCAACCTAATTTCACAGATGCCTTGAACAGCTAGAAAGATTTTTCAAAATTAATTTTTAAGAGTTTTAAGAAAAAAGTGACAGCGCTTTGCAGAAGCAAGTGGTTGCTCAGCCTAGCCATGTTTACAGGGGTGTAGACGTGATCACTCTTGTATTGACAAACATACATTGTGACAAGTAAAAAAAAACAAAACAATTCTAGTAACATACCAATCATTCAGTTCCATCTCAAAATATTTGTTACAATTTCAGATTTTTCTTTCATTGTAGTTTAAAAAGTCTGCAGATTTTAAGATTCCTTAAAATTTATTCCTTCAATATACATAAATTTGAAATAGATGCCATACTACAACATCCTGAAGAATTAATTTCAATTCATAAGACTGAAGCTTCCAAGAAAAGGCAAGAGATTAACAAACTTTTGACCTTTTTCCTTTTTTTTTTTTGTATGTTTTCTAACTCTTGACTCCTTCTTCCTACTTCCCCTCCTCCAGCATTCCCATTATAGCCTCAGAGCAACTCACTTTGCAGTATCATTTACTTCCAGTTACCTTCTGCCAGCAAAGTTACACTGAAGCACATTTTAAACATAGGAAACAACATCCTCTTCAAAAACTAAGTGTCTGATATGTAAGGAAAGAGAAACTAACACTGCTTCATCAGTAAAGGCCACACAGTGAAGAATGATCTTTTGCAATCACCTCTGCCAGCTGCTCTATTTTTCAGGTAGCAGCACCAGTGCTCTCCTTAGTAAAAAAAGAACCAGGATAAGCAATGACAAGAACTTTGTTACCATATATTTGGCATGGCATCCCAGCTGAGACATGCATCAACTCCACTTTAAAGACAAGGAAACAGGCAAAGGACAGTGAAGAATTTATTACGAGGTTCTGAAGTGTTCTAAGCATCCAAATCACTGGTGGGGTGGGAGAACACATTAAATAAGATGTTCATTTAAAAATTTGGTCAAGTTGCTGATTTCTGAATATGAAATACATACAGTTGTTTTTCAGTTGTACCCCTCTAGAACTGAAACACTCTAGAACATGCACTTGTAGCTTCCCTTCCCCCAGGGACAAGTTATCCCTGTCCAAAATTCCCCTGAAGTACCTTAAACACTTACCCAATGTTAATTAAAAAAAAAAGTGATCATTCCTTACATCCAACAAATCCTAGACTGTATTTTTCTGTTTTATGGAGAATAATGCCTAGAAATATCTATGAGGGCAGCTGGTTAAGTATTGCTAGTATTTCCTTTGAAAGCAGGTACATAACAACATAAGCAAGTGGTGACACATTTTGTGAGTGCAAAAATCAGTATTTTTGAACTTTTATTCTTTTAGACTGAACTTCACGGGAAGATTTAAAAACTTAAGTCCAGTGGCATTATAAACTACCTAGAATACCACATCCGAAGATGTATAAAACCATCCCTGGATTAATCATAACATACCGCATTTTCCACTTTAGTCTTACAACAGCAGAATTATTTTAATTAAAAGCTTGTAGATGATTGAAATTGCATGGATGGGTTGGTCTGCAAACATCCTTCATCCCATTAGTTTTTAAAGGAAAACATGCAAATGCCTTGTTCAATGCTAGAATCGGTGATTTCCAAAAGGAAAGCAGAGGACTGTGGAGTACATGCATCTCTTGTACATCCAGACATACTTCCAAGCCTCAGCCAGAAAGAGCGCTGACAGCAAGAGGTAGATTTGCCATTCCTTGGATTGATTTCAACTATCGGAGGCAGCAGTCCTCCATTCAATTTCTTGCTGGCATACATTTGTTATAAATAATCCATTATTTCTTATGTGGTTGCTTCAAGACTTAAAATTTCATACTCGGATAAGTACCCCAATGCACCGCACTTAAGGTAGTAGATGTTTATATACTATATAAATATTCAGAGACTGAATGAGACCTTAAACTCTACAATAATCACCTAAGTGCATTAGCACTTCTCTATTATTATCTCAATTAAATACAATCCACATCAGAACCTCTGAAATATCACAAAGCTATTTAAACTACAGCTATTTTGGAAACTGCACTAGAAATACAGCTGACAAGGGAGGGGGGTGTGTGTGTGTGTGTATAAACACCAAAGGTAGGACCCATACAAAAGCCATGAATGCCTTCTGCGTGTATAGAAGGACTCTGAATAACTTAGAATTTTAGACAGAAGTCTTTCTGCACCAAAAATCCCTTCAAATAAATTTGTTTTTCACATCACACAGAAAAAAGAATTTAACATTATTATTTTTGAGTAGATGAATTCAAATGTCCACTGTACTTACAGACCCTTGGGCCCAAATCTCAGCCCTACAGTGATTTTATTTATAGGACTGGGGCTTCCATCAGTAACATTTACTTTTTAAGATTTAATTTCTGAATATAAGGATAGGATTTCAGTAAACATCAAACTTTTCCAGGAATGGATGCCAGCTCTTCGTATCATCTATTCTTAGGTAAACCATCTTAGCCCTGGGAAAAAGTACTTACCGGTTCCGAGAAAGTTATTCCCTTCAGCTCTCTACCCCCTCCTACAAAAGAAAAACAAAGGATAATTACAAACATCTCAACTACAGTTTGAAACAGAAAAAGAAAATTCAAAGATTTGGAAAGTTGGGGGTGAAGTTGTTTGGGTTTTGGGCAGGGGTTTTTTGTTTGTTTTTTTCAGGTTTTGGGCATTTGGATTTTGGCTTTTTTTTTTTTTTTAATGCTGATGCTAACTATAAAATACCACTTGGAAAGAAAATCTGTTTGACATGGCAGGGAAAGCCAAGGAGACCTACAGTTCTAATCTGGATTAAAATACAAACTATTACTGTCACTAGAGGAAGAAGAGATTACAGGTACAAGCTTGTGTAGTTCTGTGCAAGGCCTGTGTCCCCCTCCCCTGGGGGAAATACCTCCTCTCCACCACGTTTATTAACGTCTAAATCACAAGCCCTGTCAGTTGCCACAGCTAAATATGACAAGGTTACCCACCCCAGACATTTGCCCACCACCTCTGCTAGAGGTTATACCAACACAACAAAGATGGTAGAGCAGGCGGTGTGTCAGCACAGTCACTAGAGCTCAAATCCCAGAGTACTAATGTAAACTGAAATCAATGGCAGTTTAAGCTAATATGCTAGGTCATGAACTGTGGAGGCCGAGCAGATACACTGCCCATTACACTGCCTGTGTCATGGGAAGAACAACACTTAGCAGTAGAGCAAGGTAGTACCTCTTAAATCATCCTCATATGAATCATAAAAAACTCGTGAGTCAGAGTCCTAAAAAGATAGCTAAAATATAAACGGTAACTCATTTGCTCAATTACTTGGCCTGATGCTAAAAAAAGCCTCCAAAATACTCCAATTTTCTAGTAAAATACTAGAAATACTATTTAAACTTCAACTCCACAGCTAACAAGATCTTTGCAGATATGTTTCTATCCCCACACAAGTCATCGCAGAGCTGAAGTTTAAGCCCCAGCTTTATAAATAGATAGAGCAGTAGAAAGCCACATAATCATCTCTCACTCAGTGGAGACCAGCACAAGTGAAGGAGTTTACATTTACTAACCAGCAGAACCAGGGTGCTGATGAACACTAAGAACAGAAAAGAAAACAGGAAGCCTACTGCTGGTAGTGACTGTAAGTATTGTTGCTCTCCTAGTCTCAAATTTTATTGTGTATTTTGAACAACAAAATATTACAGAAGATAAGTTGTCAAATCAATTTAGAGCAATTTCAGGTTAGTTTAAATAACATCCAACTGCTATCATGGTAGGTTATGAACTGGGGAGTATGGACTGTTTTGAGGCTATATTCAACTTAAGTGCATTTGCTCTGGATGCTACAGAATTTGAAATACCCTTATTGTTGAGGGTGCTGAAGAGACAGGTATGATTCTCAAACTCTTGTTATTTCTTCTTCGATATTAAAACCTTAGTTGTCACCTCTACCTCCCACTATCAATCAGTTATTTCATTGGTCCAAAAATCTATAGAGGAAGCTCCTTCATCATGCAAGCACTAACCGTCCCTCTTCAACCAGCAACTACAACTATACCTCCACGCTATTAATAGAAAATAATAATAAAAAAAAAATCTCACTGCTTGTAGATGACTGACTCCGGAAAGCTAAACAAAACGGTCGGTACTACACATCTGCAAATACAGTCTTAGAATAAAAGAGCATGATTTTTATTTTAAAAAAGAAAAATATCAATTTATTTGTAGCACGAGGACACACAAACTGAAGAGAAAACTGTCACTTAAAAATAACAGCGTGATTAACTGTTCCTTCCTTCCTTTTTCCCCCCCTATGTAGAGACTCGCCTCCATAGCAGGACCCTAGCTTAATCAAGACTGAACTGTGCAGAAAAAAAGCTGCACAGTTACAAACCTTCAGATTGCATCTAACCACTCTGAAGGGCTGCAACCCCAGGCTGAGAACCCAGGGGCTCCTGAGGACAAAGTTAGGAACACCAGGAGTTTAATCGTGACTATCGGAGTGATTTGCTGTGTTGCCTTGGAGAAGTCACTTAGAGAGAACCTAGACAGGGGATGGAAATACATTTGCAACCTCTTCCGTACATAATTTACTACGGTCTTTTTCTTAAGTGTTTAAAACAGACTAATGTTTGAAAGTCAAGCCTTTGGAAATACAAAATACTTTAATTCTGCCCTCATGCAAGTATAGTATTTTTACTAGCATCTCTGCCTCATTTAGCAGAAAGGACAAGCTTAAAGAATGATGTATCAGTTGAATAATTTCTTCTCATTCTGAGTTTTCCGTTTGCGTGCTTTTTTTAATTCAACATGTAAGCTCTACAACAAATAAAGAATTGGTTTCCTCATAAGCAGCACACTAACAAGAGCCACAGAAAAACTTGTGCCTGATACAGGCAAGTTTTCTTAGATAGGAAATTGAGGCAGAGAAATGAAGAACAAACATCCAAGATTGGTAACTCCAAGCATCTTAGACTGACTTAGGTTTTCCATTGCTCATTTTTATAGTAGAGAACAGTTTATGACCAACTAAATCTGTAGCTTTGGTTCTTGGCAATTCTCTGCATTTGTAGCTACTGGGAACCAACATGGAATAATATTAATGAAAAAGGTACCAGATAAAATGCACTCTGTAGATGAAATGAGATTATTTCTTGTTCACAGCAAGAGTACATACACAAACTCACACTGCTTCTCTCATTCTCACTACAAAACACATTAGAAAGTTAAGATTAGACAGCTCACAATCACTCATATCAATAGAGATATCTGAAGAGTTTTGCATTTTGCAGGGTTTCTTAACAAAAACTTCAGCAAGTAGAAACATATCATGAAATCTCAGCTATTCATTTTACCGAGGTAAAAGGCATTTTACTGCCTTTTGAAGGCTCTAGAAACATGTGCTGTAAGCTGAGGTACGAGTCTACATGGCTAACTCTCAGATTATTACAGTGTATTCTGCAATATTTGGGGATTTTTTTTTTTTTTTAAAACCCCAGCTCGGAGTCACATGTCTATATCCACCTCTGCTTTCTATTAAGAACAGTGCCTTCTTCCCAAAACATACATATGATCAGAAGAAAAAGCTTGAGCAATGCTTACCTATGATTACTACAAGCTAATAACAAAAAGCAATTAAAATTAGTCTTAACCAAATAAAACAAAGTTTTAGAAATACATTTGTCATGGTTTAACCCCAGCTGGCAACTAAGCACTACACAGTCACTCACTCACTCTTAATGTCCCCCCTCCCTCCTTCCTCCAGCTTTTATTGCTGAGCACAATGTCACATGGTGTGGAATATCCCTTTGGCCAGTTGGGGTCAGCTGTCCCGGCTGTGTCCCCTCCCAACTTCTTGTGCACCCCCAGCCTGCTCGCTGGTGGGGTGGTGTGAGAGGCAGAAAAGGCCTTGACTCTGTGTGAGCACTGCTCAGCAGTAACTAAAACATCCCTGTGTTATCAACACTGTTTCCAGCACAAATCCAAAACTTAGCCCCTACTAGCTACTGTGACGGAAGTTAACTCTACCCCAGCCAAAACCAGCACGTTTTTCTTACTGACACCGACTGCTGAGAATCTGATGTTAGTGTTACTAACAGGGAGGGTAGTTTGATATATACATACACTTAAAGAAGGAGTACCTCCCTGCCCCCCCCCCCAAAAAAAGGCTCTTAAACTTTTCAACAATTCTATACAACATATGTAAGGAAAAATACACCACCATTACCAAAACAATCAAATTCTGCAGATCAACTTTAAACTTTTTGTTGAAGTTTGTAGATAAGGAGAAGAGTTACTCATTTCATGGGACTGTTATGAAAACAAAGACCTCAAACACAGAACTCCTATGTTTAAGGCTTGGTAGCCGAGGGGCATCAGAAGAACTACACATGGTTGTTAAACATTTTAGCATACAGCACCTAAAGGTTTAAGACTATTTAAATGCTAAGTATCTGTATATTAAGATGTTTGGTTACATCAGTCAGATACTTATTATTACTTTTAAGTTATACAATAAAGTTATGCTACTGTAACCAGACTCATTTGGAAAAAATGGGAGAAATGAAAAGTCATGTTTAGCCATGTTTTGTTAGCATTTTTCCTAACTCTAGAAGCTAGCACATGTTTACTGTTAGACCATGTAACTTTAATCAGGAACTTTATATGTACATATCACATTACAATATTTAATTATGTAATTTTTTCTTTTTGCCAATAGGACCTCGGTCGTCTTCGGTGCACAGGATGGACTCAGATGAAAAAGGACTAATTGTTGTGTACAGGCAATTGTGAGCCTGACATTCTTTCACATTTCAGAGCATTGCTTGACAATATTAAGGGTAAAGCATTAATTTTTTTTTTTTTTTTGGGCAAAAAACACTGCACACAGAAGGGATTAACAGTTTTCTCTGGACCTCTGTCTTTAAGATGTGAACTCCTCAAAGCAACAGCTCTCCTTCCTATATTTGAAAGGCAACCTGTATATAGAGAGCACTCTATCAGCATCTTCTAGGAAAGTAAGTCATAACAGTTACTTTACTGTGATTTTCAAGTGAGAAATGAAACAACTCATATTCCTTAACAGGACAGGATTTCTGCAGTCTCAAGAAAAAGACAGACCAAACACAGCCCAGACAGGGAGTATAAAAGCTATTTCAAATTACATTATTATAAGGCTCACGTTTCAATGACCATGTTAGCAGTGCCAGTGCTGCTGCTTCCGTGATTTGAAACAAGCCTCCCGTGTGCCAGTGCAGGGAATCTGATCTTGCCATTGTGCTGCAGCTGGGAGAACTCCCAGTCAGCCCCAGTAACACGTGCCAGGCAGGTGGTAAAGGCACCAACAGGATTGCCCAAGATAACTGAGACTGCACTGAAGTGTACTAGCCATGCCTTCTGGTTTGTCCATCTGCACAACTCCTTTATAACTTCTCTCTCTTCCTCCTCCCTATCGCCACCCAATACTGGTAGATAAGTCCCATTAAAACGGTCAAGGAGCTTGGATTTTCTATTGATGCATACAGACAACCTACAGGATTC